ATGACTATACATAACATCATTTAATTTTGGACAGAATATTTTTTTCTATCTGGAACAGTTTGGAGTATATTGTTTTGACCCTTATTGAAGTCAGAGACTTTGTTCTTGGTCCCTAGTTCTCTGTTATCTTTCTCTCTCTTTTTTTCTCTGTAGCTATACCTTTCAGGTAGGGTTCCTCAGGGTTCCCTTAAAGGGAATGAGCCTCTTGAACTTATTTCTAGGTCTCCTCACTGGGTTTAATTTAGGATGTTAGTTTAACCTATTAACTTGTTCTCTTAACTAGTGCATTTTAGCTTTCGGCCTCATGGATTTAAGATTACATCTTGATGTGCTATTAGGGAATTTGACTTCACACAGCCTTCATAAAATAGTGGCTCTGGCTTCTAAAGTCTAAAGTTTCCTCTAAGTGAAAAGAAATACACATGTAGACAACTCTGTGGGCTCACTTGAACTGCTTTGTTTCCATGAGGAGCCTTGAGGGGACTGGAAAAGTTTGAGGCTGCACCAAGGTAATTGTTCTGACAGTGGCTACTTGTGAGGAAGCTCTCGTCTTCTTTGGGTTAATAATAAGACAGTGCTGTCAATGTGAAAATGGATTCAATTTGCTTTAGTTCAAACAGTCGTAGGGATAATTTGCTGAGTCAGTACACCGCAAATGGCTTTGTGGAATGCCCTCATGGAGACACACAGATGCCCCAGAAGATGTCTGCTCCAACAGCTCAACTCTGCTGTTGCCTCAACCTGGGTCTTAAGGTCTTCCTGAATTGTCCACCGTTTTTCTTTTTCTACTGTGTTCCTCTATACACCTGCCAATTTGACCAAACTTAGCCGTTCCACAGTGATGTCGGGCCTTGGGACTTTGTCAGGGATACCTGTCCCCTCATCCCTGCCTAACTGAGATCCTAGTCATTTCAAGCTAACTCAAACCTCTCAAACACTTACTCCTTCTCCTGCAGTCATGCATGTCACACTGCCCGAGCTTCTCTCTCGGTCCCTCTTTCACTTGTCCCACTTCACAGCTGATCCTTTTTCTGACTGTGCCCCACTGGACTATCACTTCCCGGGAACTTGTGTCTTCTTTCTATGACTCACAGTAACTGATAGGGGACCTTTTCTCCTGTAACTGGTTGATAAACATTTTTTTTTAAATGAACAAAAAAATGCTAGAGAAAAAAACGATTACAAATTAGTTTTTATTTCCCAGAGTTGCTGGAGAAGAATGAAGAGTTGCCTGCCAGAAATCAAGTCAATGTTTGAGAATCAAGAAAGCAATTCATTATTCCATAAGTATATAGACAAAAATATTGGAATTAGCTCGGGATTTACCTCGTGCAAGTTCCTTTAGATGGGAAAACAAAGATAATTACTGCCAAACTCTTGATGGCTTCAAGTGTCTTGCTTGGGTGTGGCAACAACCTCCCAGGTGGCCTCTATCCTCCCCTGGCATCTCCTCCAAACCACAGTCTTCACAAAGGAATATTTATAAAACAGAAAGCTGACCCTGCCTTGATCCTGCTCTCAGGATGACGTCCAGACACCATGGCCTGTCGTGTAGGCCTTTGATGACCTTCCCCTGCTTCCCTTTCTAGTCATGTCTCTATAGATTTTTCGGCTCGCCTTTCAGATTCATTGCTTATTCTCTGATCCCGTGCTGTCTTAGGCCTGTGTTCCGTGAGATTTTTTTTCCTGGAATTTTCTCCCTCTTTTCATCTTTCAGAATAAGTCCTTTCTTATCCTTTCAGAATCGGTTTAAGCAAATTCTTCAGGCTGAGTGTTCTCCTTGTGCACTGCTATCATAACTCGTTTTAGCAGAGCCTTTCCTACACACTGTCATAATTGATGTCTTTTGTCTTTTTCCCCATCGAGGGCCAGGATCGGGTCTTACTCACAAGTCTGGAGCTGTGGAAATCCTTAGAACAGAGGAGCAGTTTTAGATGAGGTTCCCCAGGAAGAACATGTAGACTAAAAAGAGCATCAGGCTGAGAAAGGACGCCCAAGGAAGACCAGTTTTTATAGAGTTAGAGGAAAACACCCACCAAAGGAGACTAAAAAGGAAGAGGAGAATTAGAAGAGATCTGCATTTGGCATCGAAGGAAGGAAAACGTTTCATATTGAAACAAAGTTCAGCTGTGTGAAATATTGTAAAGAGGTCAAGTTAAGTAAACATTAAAGGGTACCCATTGGATTTGGTGCTTCGGAGCTCATTGATGGCCTTTGTCGTCCATCACAAGGTCTGTTTCTAGGGCTTAGCATGCACGTGAACATTATTACATCTAGTGGAACGTATCATTTGACGTAAGATTTTGTAATGCCTAGGTTGGCAAAGCTACTATACTTTTGCCATTAGGGACCTAGTCCAGGCTCTCAGCACAAGGAGATATTCGGCAAAAGTTGAAGAAGGAGGATCCACGTCTGTGCTTTTGGATGTGGTTGTGATCCTAGCTTCTGTTGTATGCTATAATCTTAAATACCTCATCAGATTCTCAAAGCTCATCTGCTTGCCAGGCCCTCAGCTGCCACCGAGACATATTGGTTGGTCGTTCATGGGTCTGTGCAGTTTTTGCCGCCTGAGGCTGGTCAGCTGAACTCCTGGGGTCTCTGGCTCCCTTGGCCACTTCAGGCTTGCATGCAGCAGGACACTACAGTACTGGGTGGGATGGGCTTCTTCAGCAGCTTCTGAGGAAGCTGGGTGATATGACTCGGAATCCGGCTGAAAGAGGTCCCTGTGTGATGAATCTGGGAGATAAGAGAGGGGAAGTAGCCGTGCAGAGACATTTTTCCTTCTTCCTCCTTGAAGGGACTGCTTTGAGCAGCTTCGATGCACAGCCTGCCTGGAGACATCCCAGGTGACTGAGTAGCTGCACCTGCTGAGCGACCAGCTGTGTGTCTTTGAGGCTTATGGTACAGCAGTGGCCAGTGCAGTGACACGCTATGGCTCTGTAACCTTCCTTGTCACACTTCTCCTTTCATTAACTCTCCCTGCCTCATGACTCCGCCTTTCAAATTAGGCACCCCTGTCCAGGCTCTGTTTCCAGTGGAGCCCATGCTGAGATAGTTCTTTGTCTCCCATGCCCGCTTAGGATGCTGGAGATTGTGACAATACCACCAGCAAAGCTTAGACTTTTCTAGTCAATAGCTGACCTGTCCTCTCCATCCTAACTCCATGGCAATTGATAGAGCGAGGATGTCACGTGATTTGGACAGCATGACTAATTGGCCAGGATTCATTTTGACTGATATCCTGCCTCTAATGCAAAAGTCAGAAAACTGACCTGAATAAAGAAATTGCTTACTTGGGGGATGAACCCAGGATCCACATGTCAGCTCATCACTAGGGCACCAGGCTCTGACTTACTTTTCTTGGCTCTATATGTCAGGAAAGGGTGCTGTTCAAACGTCAGGAAGAAGAAGGTGATTTTGTCAAGACTCCATCAATCTGTTGAGTCCCCTGTCAGCTGGCTCCCATCCGCACAGATGTGAGATAATATTCCTGTTGAAATAAGTGTCCTTTAGGTTAAAAGTAATAAATATTATCTATCTTACTTAATTGAGAGGTTGTTAGGATTGTTACCTAGGCTTTTGGAAAATCCCCCAAGGGGAAAAGTGAATCTATATATTCTGGAGGAAGGGAGTAACTTAAATTCTGGAATCTGGAGCAAATCTCCTAGCAGCTGGACAAGAGCTGGGAGAGGAGGGGAAGATTCTGAATAGCTGTCCTTGTAGAGGGCCATAGATTGAGGGGAAAAATAAAATCAGTAAGTGCCAAATTCTATTTCTAGGAGTTTGGTTATGGAAGGATACATAGGATGGTTGCTAGTGGAGGAAGCTAGGTCAAAGCTTTTACCTTTTTGTACCCTTTCAATATTGGGTAGACTTTTGTCTACCTACATGCTGAGGGGAAGGAGCTGTCTGCTGAGTTTGAGTGTGGCCACAAATAGAAAATATCTCCCTTGTCAGCCAGATGACTCTTGGGCTCTCCTGTGGGTTCTGCAATGTTATGGTCACTTTGGCCCTCTGGGCCTCGATTTCCTTTGTAAAGTGAGGACACTACACTAGGTGGTCTCCAAGGTTGTTTTGATGAATGGAAGTTTCCTGCCCATTCATTTTACTGTGGAAGGCCTGTATTGACTTGTTCTCAGGTCCCCCACTGGATTCCAGAGCAGAACTATGCATACTACTGATGACTTTTATTCTGATGTCAAGGTTACCATTCTGAAAACGCCACATGAGGGAAACATTAGGGTGGAAGAATAACAAAAGAGTTTAAAAAAAGAATACTTTGATAGATTGGCTGCACAGATTCAGAAGTCCTGATATGCCCCAGGAAGATAGCTGAAGTGTAGATGAATAGAGATGAGACCAACTTTAGACAGAGACAGAGACAAGAGGAGAGGGAAGGGGAGAGGAAGGGGGAGGGGGAGGCAGAAGGAAAGGAGGGGAGGAAGGGAGGGAGGGAAAGAGACAGAGACAGAGACAGACAGACAGGAACTAATGATTTTACCACCGAAACAAACGTGAGCAACGCCAGGTTTTGTTTGTTCCCAGGTAGGCAAAGCTATGCTAACTCTCTGACTTACCGGCCCTCTTTAAAATTCTGTCACGTTTCCCTTTTGTCTCTCTGCAACTTGGTGGGAAAAAAATATGCAGTTAGAGCCTTGCAACTTTTCCTTGGTTATTCTATTTCATCGTCCCAAACAGTTTCTGTGTCTATTAGCTGGTCAATGCTGCAACAGCTAAGGACACAATTGAGATAACCTCTCAAGTGGGGGAAAAGCACCTGTGGTTTGGGTGAGTGGCGGTGGTAGGGCCACCGGCTTGATCGTACTTGCTGTGCATGTACAATCTATCAGGCACTGCACCCCCAGCTGGTGCACAGCAGTGAATAAGACCAGTGGGGTTCCTGAGCTCATGGAGCTCCCATCCCTAGACCAGGCTTTCTCTTGGGGACCTGATTACATATTCTGTATAAATGTTAAATAAATCTTTCTCATTTTTCATAGATAATTTGAAAGAATGATGCAGATTTTATTCACTCAATAAGCGAACATTTGTTGGGCACCTACCATGTACCAATGAGCTTTCCAGGTGTTGGGGATAAAATGTAGAACAAGACAGACTCTCTTCTGCCTCCTTGGAGTTCATGCACCAGTGTGGAAAACAGAGATTGAACAAATAATTACAACTGGCATGGTAGGTGTGGTGAAGAACTACAGAGTATGGAGGGGCACACACAGGGGTATTTAACTGGAAGGTCAGGGAGCAATTTCCGAAGGGGTCATGTTCAAGAGGATTAGAGCTCATTCTCAGTTATTTGAGTTTGGAAAGTTTAATGCAGAATAAAATTTTAATCTCTCATTTGAGTTCCCCTACTCTCACCGTGTAGAGATATGTGTTGTCTTCCTGTGCAATCAGTCGCTGCTTGCTAGGGAGCTGCAGCCTCATTTAAATGTTAATATAAGCAAAACATTATTAGCAAGGTAACTTTGATGCAAATAAATAAATAAAGAGTTCTAAAGCCAAATACTAATTATTTAAAAATTACCTGCCGTGTTCGATTATCTCTGCCACTTTTTTATGAATATGGATAGTTGAGAACTGACTGTAAGGTACTATTTCTAGCAGCTAATTGATCTCTTCCATAGATCAATTTAAATTTTATTATTTGTGCTTGATTCTTAAAAGAGAGTTAATGTTTTCCTAATTACTTTGCTGTGTATCAAATTAACGATATCCTGTGATGTTCTTCTGTGAAAGCATTTCTTAAATTCTAGCTTGAGATGCTAATGACTCACTATCCGTGACTGTTAGCTGGCTGATGCTGTAATGGCTAGGGACACAATTGGGATAGCTTGTCAAATGGGGGAAAGGTACCCATGATTTGGGTGATGGGGATTGCAGGGCTATGAGCTCAATTAAAACCTGACACTTTAGACTAGCTTTGCCTTCTAAGAAGCAGCTAGAACAGGCAGAACAGGCATCACCTAATCCAACTGTGGACACTACAGAGGGGCTAAGGCCTTGGAAGGTTAGTAGCCAGGAATTGAGCATCAGGAAATCAAATCAGTTGAGTTATTTGCATTTTATGCCAAAACATGCATAAAGGTTCAGAAAACATGCATATCACCATTCACTGAAAAGAGTCAAAATATAGTCAGAATAGGGGTGACTTCAATGAGCCACCAAGTTCTTAGAAGGTGTCTCTATAACCTAGAAAACTATATCCTAAATTTCAAAGCTAATGTTTATCTTCTCCCCATCTAAACCATAGATATTTCTGGAATCACATCCAAAGGACTTTCTGGAGCATGGTTCCGTCTGTATCCCACCTCTTGGGTCCACTCTATGTATGATAGGAATGGCTGCGTACCGACCAATGCTGCATCTGAAGGAGATATAAACCAGATCTAAAGCTGGAGTCTAAGATTGTCCTGGGCTTCCAGAAGTTCTTGATTTGGGAATAATTTTAATCTTTTTGTGACTCTGGTAAAAGCTGTGGATTCCTTCTCCAGAGAAAGGCACGTGTACATATATACATAAAATGTTGCTTGGTCTTTTTAGGACACTATGGACCTTGGATCAAGAACCTTTGGCCAAGAAACAAATAATGCAATATATGTTAAGAAAAAAAAAAGAAGAAGAAGAAGGTAGCGGGAGGGGAAGAATGAAGCGGGGGAAATCGGAGGGGTAGACGAACCATGAGAGACAATGGACTCTGAAAAACAAACAGGGTTCTGGGGGGGGGGATGGGTTAGCCTGGTGGTGGGTATTGAGGAGAGCACATTCTGCATGGAGCACTGGGTGTTATGCACAAACAATGAATCATGGAACACTTCATCTAAAACTAATGATGTAATGTATGGGGATTAACATAAGAATAAAAAAAAAAGAACCTTTGGCCAAGAGATAAAATAGATCCCAATCACTCTTATTTGGACTGGAATATTTTCACATTGAATCATGTTTAGTATTGACCAAAGGGGTCTCAAATCTTTTGTGGAGTGTTCATGTTCCATTCTATTCACTTTGGTTTTTGTAATTTCTAGTCACTTTTAGGTAGGTAATAAAAGTTCCTGTAGTCCCATTCAGTCCCAAACACAGTATCAAGTAAATTCATAATATATCAACTCTGGTGTTATAACAATTAAACAAAACCCACCTCTGACCTTGATTTAACCTCTTTCCCTCAAAATGTGTAACTGGGGCCTGGTTGTCTTTGAGACTGGAGGCCCAGCGCTTATCACCAGGCAAGGGTTTTGACTGGCTTCTTTTTTTTCCCCTCTGCATACTAGCTTATTCTCCCTCATCTTGGCAGCTATGATTCCTGAGCCCTTGTGGTTGGAACAAAGTGAAAAAGAAGAGGAAGGGAGGCAGGAAAGATCCCATTGGAAGGTGCTGTTGTGAGCTGGCTTCTCTATAGGTTTTAGTGGACTCCCTAAGAGTAAATCGAGGTAAATTTGGGGCAGGTCTGGTGAATTACTACCCACTGTGGTGGAGGATCAATGAGCTGCCTACTTATTGGAGTTGTAGGGAATCATCACTAATTACTTTAAGCATTTCTAGATGGATAGGGAAGAAAGCATAATGAGGAGGACTGTAGGCTTTGGCAAAAGAAACTATGTGCAGACCTACCTTTTCCCTTTACCAGTTGTGGAACCTGGATGAGTCATTTCTTATTTCAGCAGTTAGCTTTCTAATTAGAAAAATGAGCATAATAATAACTTCTTGTGGCCATATTGGATAATCAAGAGATAATGTTTATAAGGTGTCTGATACTTAGTAGGCACTCAATGAATGGTAACTATTAAGATTACTTTGAAAACATACCTCAAGTCCCTTTAGTGCACACGTTTATAAGCACGGACATCGACACCCTTTCTCAGTCTGGATCAAACATTCAACGTGGCCTCCAACACATTTACTGCTTTGAGGAGAAAAATAATATTCAAGCTGAGGTTATTTTTCTCTCCCACATGTGGTTTCTCATAGTTCTACATGTGTGGCTTGGTTCTTGGATTCCACTCAGGCATTATGCAACATCCTGATGTTCCAAAGATGCTGTGTTGGAGAGAGAGGCACATTTAAAACAGACTCAAGTAACATAGAGTCAGACCCGTTGGTGGTGGCGGGAGATGAGCTTGGCCAGATGTTCCCCAACCTCCCACAAGCTGTGACTCACAGGTGGCCCCTGGTGCCGTGCGCAGCGGCTGTTCTCCCAGCCGAATTCTCCATCATGGTGAGGTCAGAGCCCAGATTTATGAGCTCCTGGCAAGGTAGAGTGCAGATGGAGAAAATTTCAACTTTAGCTTTTGTGAGGGAATCAGGAAGTACCTTTAGGAATTGTCACTGCCGTGGCTTATTAGAGAGTTTTACTTTGAACCCTTTCTCCCATGTAGTTCCTCTCCTCTGCTGACTTCTTCCCCTTCTGCGTCCCCACAATCTCTAATTACACCTATGGCCCAAACCCTTATTTTTGTCGTTGCTTGCTCTTGATATTTGTTGGCAACTTTATCTGTCCTTCGGGATGGATCTGAAATTCCTCATGGCCCTGCATCCCTGTTGGCAGGATTCAGAATATGGGATTGTATGACTCAGAGGGCTTGCAAGGGGAAGCTGCTTTAGCTTTCTCTCCCTCAGTGGTCTTGACCACGGTCTTGTACCAAGTGAATTGCACTTCCTGGGTGTGCTTTCCCATGCAAACAAGAGTGCTCTGGTATGAACGATGTGTCTTGCTATGTATGCATTTCTTTACCTTTGGTCCAGAGAAAAAAGAAAGAAAGAAGAAAGAAAGAAAGAAAGAATGAATGAAAGAAAGAAAGAAAAGGAGAGAAAGAGAGGAAGGAAGGAAGGAAAGGAAGATGTTTAGTGTGAGTTGTTTTTAAATTGAAAATAAATTAAATATTCTAAATAGTCCATGGAATGAAAAAATGCTCAGATTGACTCACTTGCCACAAAAATTCAGACACATCCTCTAGAAATGGTCCTGTTCCACGGCTAGCCTGTTTGGTGTATGCCTCCCCAGCCTCTGTTCTAGCCAACAGCTGCTGGCAATTTTGCAATGAATTTCTCCTTTAATTAATCAATTGGGGGTCCACGTGGAGGAGGTCTGTATTTACTGGGTCAGAATTTTGACAAAAGCATGCATGCAAGGGAATCAGGCATGCACAAAAAATCCAATTTCTTTTTGACTGTATTCAAATAGTAATCAGAAAGCTGTGTACAAGAAACAAACAACTGCTTTGCATAGACAATGTGGCATTTCTTTAAAGGGGGGCATGCTTTCGTTACCAGAATAAGCATAATAGTAATATAAGATCAGGAACAGAATAATATATTTAGGGAAGAGAAACAAAATTCATAAATCCAAGAATTGGAATAACTGAGAGTTGTCAAAGGATGAGAATTATGGAGAGGAGGAGGTTTCCCGTTCTGCCCCAATGTAAGCAGGAACATAAGCAGAAAACGTGTCTTGTTCCAGAAGTGCTGTTAACATGGGATGCTTGCGCTGACAGAGAGTGAAAGACAGTTGGGGAACAAGGAGGATATGAAGCCCACATCCTGACATGCTCTAAGGCATGTGGAATGCAGGAGAACGAACACATTCATTTATTTTATTTTTTTAAGATTTTATTTATTTATTTGACAGAGAGAGA